TTAGCAAGAGTGACATTTTCATCATGACACTGGGTCCTATTGAGGCAGACAAATGCTTTCAGAATTTGATGGGGATAAATAGTGGTAACTCTCTACCTAGAATTCTATAGACTGATATAGCAATCATCTGTGAGGACAGGATAAAGCGTCTATGACATCTGCAAGACATATTTACCACTTATGTGTCTTTCCTTGGGAATTTACTGGAGGAAGTATTTCTGCTAAAATTGGATATTCAGTCAGGAAGAAGTAGGACTCAAGAAATAAAAGATCTAGAGCGACAGGAAGGGCAGCGTCTCCCAGGAAATGGTAAACAGAGAGTGAAGGTGACCACTGTGGAGCAACTGGACAGGCAGAAGCAGACTAGAGAAATACTGGGAGAGTTTCTCAAAGAAGATGGAGCTAGAGGCCATCCCAATGTTTTAGCTGTCAAAGGATGCTTGCTGCCAGGCCTGAGACATGGTTTGATCTGGGGGACAGGCATAGTGGGAGAAGAAGAGCACTCTCTACATGTTTTCCTCTGACTTCAACAAACTACACACACACTCACACACACACACACACAGACACACACAGACACACACACTTTCTTAAAAAAATCAAAACAAAATATTCAAAAAGACAACTTTACCACTACATATAAATGTTTTCAAGCATACAAAATAGGCATAATTATGAAGAGTTTGGGTAGAATTTGTGGTTGCTCATAGAGAACTAAATAAAATCAAAGCATCGCAATTATTAAGTCTGAGAAAAGTCAACAATGAAAGAATAATTATGATTCACTTCATAGTTCAGCTATGACTACTATCTGGCAAATAAACACCATTTATTGATCTAAAAACTATTGTAAGATTATGCAAGGAAAGGAAGGGGATAAAAACTGGGTTGAGACAACACCTAAAGAAGAGGAAACATCGGAATAATAATAACTTAAAGAATTAGCTTTTTGAAAGGCGTATATATTAAACCCACTACTTTGGGGACATGAGTGAGAAGGGCAGGTGGGCTCTGGGGCTACTTTCCACAGGCCTGCTAACACTCTCTGACCACCATCGCATGGTGAAGTGTGGTCAAAATGAAGACAAACTCGGCGTGGAGGCCCATGCGTATGGTCCTGGCTCTCCGGAGACTACGGCAGGAGTATCAGCAGTTCAAGGCTGGGAGGCCACAGATTAATGAGACTCTGTCAGAAATAAAAGAAGAAAAACCGTTAAGTTTATGTCCTCTTGGGAAAGCAATTTTACCTCTATTAACCCCATTTGCCCAAAGCAGGAGAGGTATAGATTAACCTTTCTGTTTGGATGGCCTCTGACCCAATAAACTTAAATAGCAAGCTAGTTCCCACTTTAAAATTCAATATGATCCCAAGAAGGGGACTCTAAAGTTCTTAATTGAAAGGGGGGGGGGGATGATGGCATCGTTCAGCTGGATGCTGCAGTTTCCAGAAGCCTAGGGGAGTGAAGGGAAGGGATTGGCTCACAAGGTACAAAATTCTTAGTGCCTGAGAACTTCCTGGTCTCTAGATTCTGATTTGTTTATTTTTTTAATTTGTCAAAAATTTGGGGGACTTTGTCAAAAGTGAGACTTGTGAATAAAGCAAGAAAATCAATACGGCTCCAGAAATCTGATTCTTACAGGATGATTTTCTATGCCTTAGGTAGCTAAGTGGCTTAGCTGAACTCTCCCTTCCACCCTGCCTACCTCTGTCTTGACAGAATTGTGTGTTCAGGTCTAATTGCAGGCCCAGGTTGAGTCAAGGTTAAAGCATTTCTAACACAGAAACGAATCCACCAGCGCCCATTTCTGTGGGGTGTCACCAACCCTTCCTGAGGCGTCAGTAATTTTCCAGATTGATCCCTACACTCGGTTTGTGGTTGAATCTATGCTCCAGTTATAACAGAGACACGGAGCCAGTATCTGAAGCAGGAGACAGTTAGCAAACAGCATTGTAGGTGACATTCTGCCCAGAGCGTGCTCTGGATGCTGGGAACTACTTCCCTTCCCCCAGTCAGCTTGCTGGCTTGCCTGCCTACAGCTACAAGAGGGAAATCTGAGAGGCCAGTTAGTTACTAAGGAGACCAAAAGGGTGCTCTGTCTGAGTCACCCTCTGTTTGGAGGGAATGTGCCTGAAGCTTCTATGGCGGAAGCTTCGATGGTGATTAATTCATTTTTGACATCCATTTCGGGGCACAAGGGAGGAAGAATTAATTTCAAATCGAGCCTAACCCTTTCAACAGCACTCAGAGAGCCAGGGAGGGAAACGGTTGGGTGGCAGAGTGACAAGTGACAGAAGAAAATGACTCACTGACTTCCCATATGGAAGAGGGTCTCAGGAGAAACTTCCAGGTGAGTAAATGGCTCTGCCTTGGGGCCGGGATAAAGTATGGGTGACAAATAGGTCATCTGACCCAGGGGAAAGCGCTGGAAAGGGAAGTGAATGCCTTCCTGTCTCGTGCTTGTGCCAACCCCTGCATACCTGCCAGTCCCAACCGAGGAACCAACCCTGTTAAAACCAAAGATGTGGAGGGGAAAGGTGTGGGAGATGGAGGGGAATAGGGAGAGACATTTGACTTAGCTTTGACTTCTTCGTTGGAGACAGCAGCCCCATGGGGGAAACATCGTGTGGTTAGCCATTAAGCTCACGCTGTATGCAGTCCCAGCAATGACACCCAATAGCTGGGTCTCTAGATAGTTTGCACTATTCTCCCGGAATGTTAGAGTCAGGTGAGCAGCCCAGGCCTTACAGGGTGAGCAACCCAGGCCTTACAGGGTAGTTGAAAGGATCTGCTCACAGCGGGCACCTAGAAAGTGCTGGGATTTCCTTCTCTGAGCTTATCAGCTAGAAAAACAAGTCGGGATAGAATCAGAAAACCTATCTGGAGAGACTCTTTGAGAAGGGAGCATCAACAAACCTAACTTGGCCAATCGGAATGTTTCAATAAATGTTATAACTCCTAGAAAGTCCAAAGGGTGCTTTGGTAACACAAGGGAATTTCTGTCTCCAACACAAAGCTCTCTTTCTTATTTTCGAATCATCTGGAAAGTCCATTACCTGTTGACCTGACCTGACGTTGGACTCAACAGAGAACTATCCCAAGTATCTCACAGAAATTGTCATTTTCTTCTGGGACCATTCTTTCCCCCACCTGGTTCCTGTTTCTCAGATTGTATTCTGGCCACCAGAATCCTCCATTCTATTCTGCATCCCTTTTGTTTTTAAGAAATGTGGCTTGTATCTAGGGCCTATCTCATACTAGGCAAGCACTCTGCCACTGAGATAGATCCCAAATCCTCCTTTCACCTTTTATTTCGAGACAGGGTCTTACTAAGGTGAACTTGTGATCTGCCTTAGCCTCCTGAGTAGCTAAGTAGTATATGCCTATAAAAGCAAGCATGGCTTCTCCTTGTCCTTCCTCCTCCTCTTCATGGAACTATAGTTGCATGCTGATGTTAAACTGCCTTCCTGTCTCCCACTTAGGTGGGTGTGAGCAGTCATGGGTGACAATGTGAATATGAATGCTGAGTAGCCAGCATCAAAAGACAGCAGCCTGCCCTTCACCTTCTCTTCCTGTGTCAGCTCAACTGTAACTTGGATATATTGGCACTTATTCAACCTTGTGGTCGGTGACAGTTTTCTGGTGGGTGGTGAGGAAATGGGCATGAGAGGAACTTGGTTCCCTGAATGACGTCTTGGAATGGAGCTCCATGCCAGCCTTAGCAAGTCATGCGGTCCTGTAACACAAGAGAGCGGAAGACCAATCAAAAGGAACAACGTAGAATTGCGCTGCTGTACCAACGGATCTCTTATATTAACCACCTAGACTTACCTACGCCAGGCCCTGATCAAATGTTCTTCAGAAATGGGTACAATGGCTAGGTTACATGGCATTTTGCCAGAGCAGAACACCTACCTATGTTTTGAGGAGTCTATTCTACTTTGTAAGTAAAACGCACAACTGGGTATTTGTACACACTAAATACTGACTTTTCTAAGCAGTCTAAACCCCTAAAGTCGCTTACCTGTGTGGCTGTTACTCCATGTGCTTTCTGATCCCCATGTGTGAAATTGAAATTCTGTCATGTACGCTCTTGGCTGCTCCTCCCGCCTTCCTTGATTCATATTTCGCAGTGCCTTGCTATCTGTGACTGTATGTTAGCTTATGTTCGTTCTTTGATGCTCACATTGAGAAATAAATCATTTCTGATATTCTTCTTCTGCTAAAATGATGCCGGAATCCTAATTGTGGAGCTAGGCAGCATCAATGTGGTCCCTAGAGACATTAATTAGGGACTGCCCCTTGCGTTAGAGAATTGCTAGTGAATAGTGAGATTTTTGCTAACATGCCTGTGTCCTGTGACTAATGTCAACATATTTCTACCTGTAGGATTGTACTGCTTGTCACTAAGTGAAAAATAAAAGGAACCAGACCTTCTGCCTCTCAGTAGGCTTTGAGGGGTTTTTTCTTCTCCCTAATTTTACCCATGCAAACATAAACATAGTAATATGTTATTGTTTTGATGGTCTGCCATCTATGAAATGGGTGCACTGATGTAGCAGACTCATTGCATGTAAACAATTCAGCATCGCTCTGGTAAAACCTAGGTAAAAATGAGAGTTTAGCTCCCACTGTGTATTTAAATTCGAAAATATCTACTGAACAGAAGCAACTCAACCCTAACTGTAGCAGACACAAAGAGGCAATAAAAAAAAAAGTTGCGATTGGAACTCTCAAATTGCCCTAAATTTCTATATTCTAAAAATATTATTATAACTATTTTCTTTTATGTGGTGCGTGTTTGCCAGCATGTATGTCTGGTACTCAAGGAAGCCAGACAACAGTACAGAATCTCTTGGGACTGGAATTACAGGTGGTGGTGAGCTACCATGTAGGTGCTGGGACTCAAATCTGGGTCCTTTGTAAGAACAGTCAGTGCTCTTAGCCTCTGAGTCATCTCTCTAAGCCAATGTCTGTATTTTTTTTTTATAGACCAATATAGCATTCATGCTGACTGAGCAGCTGGAGCAGCCAGCACCATCGCAGATGACAAAAGAATTGGAATGCAAGGTAATTGTTCTCCTGAGTGACCTCATAGAACAGAGTCCAGCACATCACCTGGGACAGTACAGCGAGAGGCGGTCCCTGATGGGTTCTGTTCTGTGGCTGCATTCTGTCTGCTCCTCCTCTTAGGCTCCATCATCACCTTTTGAATCCCTTGGAATTACCAGGACCCTTCCAGCTGGGTAAGCCTGGTAGTTCAGTTCCTTACTAGTTTAAGCTGTGGGCCTTCAAAAACACCGTGCAATACATACTTACCATCCAGAAACATACCACACCAAATTTACACAGCCTGATGAGCTGTTTGGAGTTAAGCCCGCGTCCCCAAAGATTTAAAATGGAATTCTTCCAGAGATGCTGGGAGAATCTGGTGTGCCCTCACCAAAGGAACCTTGTCCAACCATCGCTAGGGCCGTTGTTCTGGAAGCTTGGCCTCTGAACGCCAGCTGTGGTCCACGGAGCCAGCCTGTTTCTATGCCTGCCTTTGGCCACTGAGCAAAAAGGCTTTATTTGGTCAAGGATGGATAGTTGGGAAGTTGTTTCTATCTGAGCACCTCTCTTGTGTTTATCTCAAGAATTTTTAAATATCTTTCCCTGGAGTCTTAGTGAAGCCAGATTGGAAAATAAAAATGACCCACGGCTTTCACTGAAGCTGCGCCTTCGGTCACGGGTCCGAGGTTTTCTGCTTTGTTTTTCCTCAGCTTCCACACATTTCTCTCTACTTCCGGCACAGTTATCCCATCTTCTCCTCAGCATGGAGACCATTGCGCCTTAAAAGATTTTGGAGGGCTGGGGACACACAGCTCAGTGGTAAAGCATCTGCTTGGCCTTGTATATGGTCTTGGCTACCATCTCCAACACATGCGATCTCATTTTCTCTTGGCCACTGCTATACCCAGGATCTGATCCAGCCCTCGGGGTTCTTGTCTCAGAGAATGGCACTGTCATGGGTTCTCAAATCATCTTAAGAATTCATTCAGTAGATGACTTGTAAATCTGGAGGCTCATCTGTAGCTACCACAGAGCCCTGTCTACGTTTATTTCCTAAATGCTCCCGGGCTCTACCCACTCTCTTTCACCTTTATGTTGCCTAAGCCGCCTTCTTCGAAAGGGCCTCATCGCCCCCTGCAGGCCCCTTCAAATCTGCTCTACACAGTCACTGGTGCCAGAGTGGCATTTTCGAAACCAAAATCTCTCCTAAATCCTCGTGACCAGCAACAGCGAGCCTGCCAATGGAAAGCCCCTGAACAGTTATAAACAGAGAATTTCCCACATTCTGCAGTGAAGACAGAAGATTGCTAAGGGCAGTCCAGCAATGATTTTTATCCCTTAGGACCAAGGCTTGAGGCCTGGGTAGTGTGGACCTCTGAATAGAGGAATTGTTGGCCATAGATGCTATATGAAAAATACATACTGGAAACCTTGTGGTTCAAGGGATTTTTATACTTAAATAAATGGTCACTTTGACAAACACTGACCACTGTTAAAGCCCACGATGCTTGGACACAACAAGGGCTCCTAAAGACCTTACATCATCCATGATGTCTTTAGGTCGTCTTGTTCTCATTTTCCTTATTCGACGATTGAGCATGTCAAATTTCATTGCACAAAAGCTATCTCATATACATGGATAGGTAAGGGTGACCTAATCTGAAATGTCCCTTCACATTCTCAGCCCCTACACAGTGAGTGCTCAGTCCATCCCTTTCTATTCTCAAACACACCAGTGCAGAATATTTTACGTCCCCAGCTTTAGGAGCTTCCCGACACTGTCGTGTGGCACTTGGTTTCATCACTGATTTCAGGTATAGCCAATCAGTGTCTTCAGTACCAAAGGACTGGGTGTTCTGCTGGAAATGCGTGGAGATGAGTGGGCACTCAAATGACTTGGGCCACACCTGGGTTCACACCTCGAAGAAGCAAAGAACATGGCAACCGTTTCATAATTGGTGACAGACTCTAGAGAGTTCACAGTAAGTCAGAACTCTGCATTGGTATGCGCCATTAAAGACAATTTAGAGTATCGGTACATCTGTGAAGATAATTATTCTTAATTAATTTTTAAAGTTGACGTACAAAGTAATAGATTTCATTATGGTGTTTTCACGCATTTGTATCATTACACTTGGTCCTTCTTCAAGTCTGTCCCCCCTTGCCTTTGGGTCCTCCTTGCCCTCCCCTTACTGATCTGCTTTCTCCCTCTGGTCACCCTTCTGCCTTCATGTCACATGTATTACGTTACTCTCCCTCTGCACCCCTAACCTTTCAGTTACCAGAGTTCAGCTGGGCCTCAGTTGGGCCTGTGACCAGTGTTGCTATGTCAATTTTATGTCAATCCTCCTACCTTAGCCTTTGAAGTGCTGGAATTACAGGCATGAGTCAGTGTGCTCAGGTCTTTCACGTCCACTGACACTTCCAAACCTCATAAGGGCAACTACTTGGTGGCCACAGGTTTTGAATTGTCAATATGGAAACCTAGTCATATCCCAGGACTTAAGAAATCTTCTAATTTGTTAGTCTTTAAGCCTTAAATAAGCATGCTACAGTCTGTATAACCACAGAGGTTAGGTATAGATTAGGGGCCTAGAGGGGAGGGGAAGCTTTCCCAAAGAAAGGGAAATAGAATATATGGAAAGACCGAAAACAGGGAAATACTGGAATGGGAGTGGTGTAGGAGGATCTTCTTTCTATGTGTTTCTTTCATTTGTCAAATAAAGAAACTGCCTTGGTTTTTTGATAGGGCAGAATTTAGATAGGTAGACCGAACAGAGAGCTGGGAGAAAAAAAAGCAGAGTCAGGCAGACACCATGGCTCTCCTCTCTGAGATGGATGCTGGTTAGACTCATACTGGTAAGCCACAGTCAAGTGGCGATACACATTAATAGAGATGGGTTAAACAAATATGTAAGAGTTAACCAATAAGAGGTTAGAACTAATGGGCCAGACAGTGTTTAAATGAATACAGTTTCTGTACAATTATTTTGGATATAAACTAGCCAGGCAGCTGGGCACTGGGAACGCAGCCAGCCACTCCTTTTACAACATGGGAGAGCTAAATAGGGAGTGGGGTGGAAGAGAGGGGTAAGGGAGGGACAAGTAACACTAAAGGTCATATGAGGATCACATTCTACTAAGACAGGAGCTTCCTAAAATATATAACACATGACAGAAATATGCATGGAATCACAAAATAATGAGGGAGACAAATCCCTAACTAGACATCCTTTGCCATCAAGAAGTTACATCTAGTTGAGTAGTAGAGCAAAGCGGGCACCATGGAGTCCCACAAAACACTTCAGGCTATTGCCAAGGTTCTGGTTGCTCCCCACAGACTGATGGCAAGGGCCTATTGCTGAAGAGAACAGTTGCCTACCTCACTGAACATGAAGAAGTCAAGCTGGTTCCCAGCTAGAGCCTTCACCGCTATTGACTAGTGCTCACCGTACTAGGAAGGACTCGGCACATTAGGAGACAAGAAACGTAACCATGGGCCCAGCTACAAACTGCAATCTACAGCTTCCTGCCCCACCTGTTATCTCCTCTGTACAGACCCAAAGATAAATGACCTTCTCTGCATCTTTCTGAGGTCAGTCTCTAAGGACCTGTTTTTTCTCTTCGTTTCCAGAAACTTCCCTGACCTGTCAACAGTGTTTTGGATTATTGGTCACCATGGCAATTCAAATGTTCACAGAGTTACTTGAAAATTGTCTGTTATTCTGCAATAAGAACCTCTTGTTTCGTATACTATTGCTTCCCCTGTGTCTAGCCTGGTGCCTGACATGGTAGCCACTCAATAAATTTAATGAACGGATTAACGAGTGACTTCGTATTTGTTATGGAGCAGAATCACGGTGTAATTGGCTTTTCTTCTCTCCTTGGATTGGCTTTGGCAGTTTGTCAACAAGTATTTATTGGATTTTAGGAAGCGGAGAGAATTGTTCTGTATTTTTAATAGTCCTGTAGTGCGTGGCACATGAATTCTGTGCTGTGAGTTTAAGAAAGACAAATCAGGCTCAACGGAGACTGATCTTCATCTTGTGAGCTATGGTAGAGTAAGACGAGTAACCAAAGACCAAGGAGCTAGTGATGGAACCACTTCCGAAAATAACACAGCGTTCACGTTAGCAATACAGTTGAGATTGATGGGAGGAAAGCTACCCACAGCCTGCCCCCTCATCAGTGACTTGGAGCCTTTTCGTTAAGGATTTCTCTGCTCTGGACAAGTATAATATGCCACCGTGGCTCACCACAGGTAACCCAGGGTCAGTATTACATGATGCATTGCAGGCAAACAGTGTGAGCTATTCCAAATTTCTGTCTCCAGGAAGGAAGGAGAAAAGCCACTTTCCAGACCCAGGTAAATGTTTGCAGGGCTGTGACACAAAAACTACTAAAAAAAAATACTAAAGTTGGTTTAGAGAAACATAACTGGTTTAGAAAAACGCCAGTTGTCTTTACCACTCAACTCTATGGGTTTGCTTTCCTTTTTCAAACGCTCCTGTAACAGAAAGGGGGCCGTATAGGATTTAAAGCAACAGACTACTCTAGTTCAAGTCACTGATGAGCGTATCTCGTAGCAACACAGCTTCATTAGCCACAGCAAGCACTGTGAAAACCACAGTGAGGACTCTCTGGAAGGAGATGTGGGTGGTACAAAAGAACCAGGGAGGAAGGATAAACCTTGACACTTTCCCCAAGGGAAGACAAGGCAGATGTGAAGTACGTATCCACCTTACAAGCATCTGATGGAGACTGCCCAGTGCCCTGTTCGCCTGTCTCACCAGAGGAGTAACCTGCACCATGAAGCCCCGTGTGGAGAGCATGCTGTGTTGTCTATTAGTAAATCAGAAGCTTAAGGAAACAAATCCAGATTCTTTATTTAACCAAGATGTCTACTTGAAACATAATGTCCTAAACAGAGCCTGGAAAAATTCAGACCAAGATGGATATCCTTTCATAAAATATGAATTTCTAGGCCAGCCGACCTGGGAGGTGAGAGAGGAAAAGAGTGTGCAGTTTGGAGGACAACAATATCGAAAGGATTAGCCTCGAATGCGGAGCCGCAGGACAGTGGGCAGGATGCGGTGGCCATTTGTTGTTTGGGAAACGCAGCGCCAATCTGCTTTCCATCACTTGCTCCTTTCTGATTTCATTTGAGAGTCTTTTCTTCTTCCCCATGTACTACCCTGATGGTCAGGGACAGGCCCTTCCTTCTAAGAAAACCAAAGGAGATCTTCATACCCTCTGCCTCACTGAGAGATGGACAAAAGATGTGGGCTTGACCGACAGAACTCACGGTCTGAGAAGTTTGCTTTCTTATTTATCTGTTTAGCTTACCTGGCTAGAGACTGACTCCAGAGTTGCACACAGGCTCAGCAAGGGCTGTGCCCCTTAGCTACATTCCCTGTCTTAGTCTCATGAATCTGAGTCTCAAGTAAACAGTCAAGAAAGAAGAGAAAGCCATTCATCTCCAAGGCAGGAGCAGGGACCACAAAGCCCATTCTACTTCACAGTTGTGGCTGGATTTTATTGCCTGAGCCTCCTGGTGCCTTGGCTCCTGTTGCTCTGGCTGATTCAATGCTTATTTCTCCAGCCTCCAGGGGATCGTCTGAGCCCTGATGGTCCTTCCAAAACATTCCTTCGACTGAAGACAACCAAAATGACGCATACACAGATGGTGAATTCATATGAAAATGGCTATTGAAATGGTATGAAAATAATGAGCAGTCTAAGGCACACGCTCAGGAAAGTCGGGGCCGGGGAGGGTCTGGGTTAGGATTTCAGGATGCAGAAGACCTGAGGCGAGTGGGACTTCTCAGGCTCCAAGGTAGACCTCGAAGTCAGACTTGAAACAGCCAAAGGAGAAGAGAAGACCAAAGTAGTTGTAGCAACAGTACAGAAATGACTTTGAGGTTTTTAATGATTGAAATATAATATAGAAAAGTAGATAATCTATAAAATTTTAAAAAGTAAGGGAAGAGGAAACAACACAGAAATGAGTGAATATAGAAAAGGAGCTTCCTCTCAGTCTTGGCCAGAGGGCAGGGGAGGTGGCAACTAAGGAGAGAGCTTTGCCCTAGTGACAGCCAGGACCATAGTAACTTTTGGAAGTCAGTCTTGTGGAAGACAAGCTGACAGTACCACCTACCTCTGTGGGAGGAGAGAGGGATGACAGAGGGGAGGGGGACACTGCAGAGAGAGGAGACCGAGAGGAAGAGGGAGAAGGAAGAGGAGAGGAGAGGAGGGAAAGGGAGGGGAAGAAAGGGGGAGGGCCGTACTCTTCTTCCACACCCTCCTATGTAGACTTAGCTGAAAACCTGGCTCTGAGAATCTGGAAAATGCAGCTCACAAGGGAATACATTAGGGGACAAAATAAATCATGACCACACAGGGTAGAGACAGCATCAACCTCTCTCAAAAGGGCATTGTGGTATTCAAAGGCAAGATCGGAGAAGGGACTGAATGGCATAGTGGTCGGGAAGACACTAATCATATCAACTTCCTGTTGTTGCCGTAACAAAGGCAACAATTTAACACAGATTTCCATTGCAGTCCTGGAGGTAAGAAGTCTAAAGTTCATTTCACTAACCTAAAGTCAGAGTCACAAGGCTGGTTCCTTGAAGAGGCTTCAGAAGAATGTGACTTTTATTATTCAAAAAAAAAAAAAAAAAAAAAAACAAAGCAAACCCTTCAGCCACTGAAGGCCACCTGCTCTGTTTGGTTTGTGGCCCCTTTCTCTAGTCACTCCAGTCTCATGCATCTGTCATTCATTGTGTCTCCGCCAGTTCTCACCTTCTGCCTCCCATGATAAGAACGCTGAATAGTTAAATTGACCACATCATGATACTTTACTATAATCTCCATTTCAAGATACTGCATGCCATCACAGCTACAAGGTACCCTTCTCCTTGGAAGGGAGCATATCCCTCAGTATTAGGACATGCGCATCTTTAAAATGTGATTATTCAGCCCAAAAACTCTTAGGGTTGAATTCATCACATGGGATTGCTTGGGACTAGGAGTAGGCAACTAATTTATAGTGTGTCCTGAGATCCAGTTTGTAAAATGGAATGCTACCCTCTACATAAGCACTGGGAGATGAAGACTGGCCCGGATTCTCATTCTAAGAGGCAGGGATGTGGAGCAACCATGACCTGGGATCTGAGTTTGACCGGCTCAGGCCAGGCTCAGCAGCAGACTCCAGGCAGAGGCTCCCCCAATTGCTACATTTATCATGCCCCCAGCCATAGAGTTTGACCACTTAGTCTGAAAAAGATGGATGATATGAAGAATTCTATTGGAGATCATCCAAACTCCTAGAAATTATGGGGTCTACCTAACTCAGACAATAAGAAAATAATCTCAGATTCAGTTAGATAAAAAAAAAAAATAGCTTAGCCTGGACAACAACCTAAAAATTTCAGGTCATTGGATGAAAGAATTATGTATAACTGTAAACCAGGAACGCCCATTGACTGGACATGGGTCTAGCATTCTTTATTGTCATAGGTGCTATCAGGAAAAGATTCCATGCTTCTCATCATGATGCGGAAAGAATTCCTTTGGGATTGACTCGTCCCCCAGACCTGTGTCCTGGCTCAATCTCTCTAAGAATAAGCAACTTCAGGTTTCCTGGGACGATGATCCTGTTGCAGTCACAGTGACTCCAGAAGCTTCAACCTGTCTAAAATATAAAATAAATGAACACTTGAATATAGAGATGATGAAGTCTTCAAAAGCACAATATAAAGGCAATATTAAGATTTGTGTTAAATTAGAAACATTTAACAACACTTGAGAGTAAAATTATGAATGTCATAAAAAATTTAGTATATGAAAGTTCAAAAACTAGCCTTATGCATTGGATTTAAGATATATATTTGAATCTGGGCTTATCATTTTAAAAAGACATGAGAAATGTACATAGATTATTAACAGTATGGTATTGTTTCAGGGAACTTAAAATTCTTAATTCATTATATTTATAAAAATTTCTAAATATTTGAGGAAACATACTGGTTTTTCTGGTTACACCCTGCCTATTTGATCTCTGAAGGGCATGTGTAGATGCCTAGATTATTCAGTGTAAAAGGGTAAAATGCAGAAGTGCCTTGTCTTTATTTATTAATTTCCTAGATGTATAAATAGTCTAATAAGATTTCAAATCAAACCACAAGCTTTAGTAAACAAGGCTTTACATTTTTATTTATTCTGCTAATTTAATTTTGAGTATCATGAGTACAAGTAGTGTTGTCTGTAGTTAGCATCTACCAGATGTTAGACTATCCCCTTTGGTGCTCTGTGCTTGCATCCAAAAGGCTCGTGCTGGGTGAGTCTAGTGTTCTACTCAAGAGAAAGCAAGTTGACAAGGACCCCAGATGCTGATATAGAGAAGGATGCCCAAAGTATCACAATTCATGTAGGATATTTTAAAATTGTATTTATTTTATATGTATGCACATTTACCTGTATGTATGTATGTATGTATTACTTCATGCATACCCAGTATCTGCAGAGGCCAGAAGCTAGTGTACGATCCCCTGAAACTGGAGCATCAGATAGTTGCAAACCACCATGTGGGTGCTGGGAACTGAACTCAGGTCCTCCTAAGTATAGCAAGTAGTCTGAACTGCTGAGCCTTCTCTCTAGCCTGTGTACGAGGCTATGGCACAGTGAAAGTCACGCATCTATTCTAAGATGGCCTTCACCCAAACTCTTGTTAGGTTTACATCATGTTTTTCCAGAATTATTCTTCCAAATCAGTCTGCTTGATTGGCTTTTGTGCAACTCCAAAAACCTGGTCATGAAATTTTCTATTTCCCCACAGGTGTCCGTTCCTTGCACTACTGAAGGCTCTGCTCTGTGGGCTGGGAATCATGGCTGGCTTTTAGTTAGTTGTCCTGTGGAATCTGCAATATAGGGGTCCATTTGCCCTCACATTGCTCTCTTCATTTTTACGGCACACTTATGGCTGCCTCCTATGGCTTGCTGCTTTGTTTTGGAGTGAATCTCTCGGGAAGTGCCCTGTGAGCTTGGGTGTGGATGGCATCGGATGAATGTGCACCATGCTTTATATTGCTTGATCAGAAAGGATGGTGCCTGTGTCCTCCAGAATCCTGAGCTTCCACAGACTGAGGGACTGAAAGAATGGTTTCTCCTCTAATTTTTAAGGTGGCTGGGAAAACAAATCCTGAGCAGAATAGGCAGGCTGGAGCTAAGAGGGTCCTATTACCTGAGCATTAGGGTGGCCGACTATCAATCTCAGGCAACACTGCCAGCTCACGTTTTGCAGGTCATCTGTCTCATCATTATGGTGTGACTCGGGACGATTTATCGCCTGCTTGCAGCTGCTTTGTGTGTATTTTTAAGAGCTGGTTTTGAATAACCCTAATTCAGCCCATTTTCCTGAGTTTCTCCTAAGCTTACCCACCTCCCTCGCCTTGATTATTTTTCAATGGGATATTTACTCTGACTTCATAACATCCTGTAGTTGGCAGAATATAGCCGGGCTTTTACTTAAAACTGAAAGAAAATATGCAAACGTTGAAGTAATGGGGAGCTATTAGGTGTGTTTGCTTCGGTTCCGCTTTTCCATCTGGGGAAATGAGTCTATATTATTTCCACCCACTCAAGACACGTTTGAATATAGTATAGTATTTCTCAGAATGAACTGGGTTTTCAGAAGGTGTTTGTTTACATAGGGGACATGAATAGTTTAAGAGACCTATCATTGATAAAATTATCACTCTGGGTATTTAGTTTAATGTATCCTTTGGGAAACCTAGATTCTTTTACTCTAAAATTCAAGAAATAGAGACAGTGAATAATTTAAAGTCTTGACCATAAAAGAAAGTTATCTCTCTCTCTTTTTTTTTTTAAATTTCCTCAAACCTAAAATTTTCCTTTCCTCTAATCTCTTATCATTATCTGTGGCAAATACTGGGTAATTTTCTACTCAAAGGCACATTCTTTTCTTCTTTTGCTCAGTTCTTTAGCTCCTTTGCATGTGAGTAGCATCATGGTGACATTTAAGGGGAAGTGACCAGGTAATAAAGGGTATGGGTACAGGTTTATGGCAGAGGATCTAGTGGTAGATTCCAAGGTGTTCTAGTGTGGGCAGAAGCACAAGGTGAAAAGAGCCTTGATCCCTCTGTGACTCCAAACCTGAGCTAATCCTGACCCTGACCCTGACTCTCAGGATGAGCAAAGCACACACTATGTTTAATCCCTAAAGAGTTAGTGTGGTTACCAGCGTTCTCCTGCCTGAGGGCAGAAAAGGGGTAAAGGATGCCACTGAACTTGCTGACAGTTCTAGACATCCTTAAAGGTTTTGAGAGTTCTTTTTCTCTTTTTATTTTTTAATTGCTTTTATTGAATTATATATTTTTTCTGCTCCCTTCTCTTCCTCTCCCCTACCCTTCTACCCTCTCCCATGATCCCTACACTCCCAATTTACTCAGGCGATCTTGTCTTTTTCTACTTCCCATGTAGATTAGATACAGGTATGTCTCTCTTAGGGTCCTCTTTGCTCTCTAGGATCTCTGGGACAGTGAATTGTATGCTGGTTTTATTTTTGCTTTGTGTCTAAAAGCCACTTATGAGTGCACACATATTATATTTGTTTTTCTGAGTCTGGGTTACCTCACTCAATATGATGTTTTCTAGATACGTCCATTTGCTCACAAATTTAAGATGTCATTATTCTTTCCGCTATGTAGTTCTCCATTGTGTAAATGTACATTTTCCTCATTCATTCTTCAGTAGAGGAGCATTTAGGTTTCCAGGTTCTGGCTATGACAAACAATGCCACTGTGAACATAGTTGAACACATGTCCTTGTGATATGATTAAACATCGAGTTCATACCCAAAAGTGGTATTGCTGGGTCTTGAGGTAGGTTGTTTCTTAATTTTTTGAGAAATCACCACACTGAAATCCAAGGAGACTGTACCAGTTTGAACTCCCACCAGCAATGGAGGAGTGTTCTCTTTACCCACAACCTCTCCAGCATAAACTGTCATCAGTGTTTTTGATCTTGGCCATTCTTACAGGTGTAAGATAGATTCTCAGAGTTGTTTTGATTTGCATTTCTCTGATGGCTAAGGATGTCGAGCATTTCCTTAAGTGTTTTTCAGCCATTTTGGATTCATCTGTTGAGAGTTCTCTGTTTAGGTCTTTACTCCATTTTTTATTGGATTATTCCTTCTTTTGATGACCAATTTCTTGAATTCTTTGTATATTTTGGAGATCAGCCCTCTGTTCAACGTGGGGTTGGTGAAGATCTTTTCCCATTCTGTAGGCTGCCACTTTGTCTTGTTGACCACGTCCCTTGTTTTATAGAAGCTTCTCAGTTTCAGGAGATCCCATTTATTAATTGTTTCTCTCAGTGTCTGTGCTACTGGGGTGATATTTAGGAAGTGATCTCCTGTGCCAATGCGTTCAAGTGTACTTACTTCCCATTTTCTTTTCTATGAGGTTCAATGTGGTTGGTTTTATGTTGAGGTCTTTGATCCATTTGGACTTGAGTTTTGTGCATGGCTATAAATGTGGATCTATTTTCATTCTTCTACAGGTTATATCCAGTTATGTGATATTTGTTGAACATGCTTTCTTTTTTCTATTTTATAATTTTAGCTTCTTTGTCAAAACTCAGATGTTCTTAGGCGTATGGATTGATATCCAGGACTTTAATTTGGTTCCATTTGGTCTGTTTTTATGCCAATAGCAGGCTGTTTTCAGTACTGTAGCTCTATAATAGAGTTTAAGTCAGGGATTGTGATGCCTTCAGAAGTTCCTTTATTGTACAGGATTGGTTTGGCTATCTATTTTTTTTAAAAAAAAAAGACTGCCAGTCATTAGGTCAATGTTCACGACTTCATGAAAAGTATTAACCAGACATAGATATTAAATTGATTTCCTAACTTATCATATAACTTTGGTGCATCTTTTCTTGTCCAATAAGCATAGGAAAGGTTGTCAACATCACTCAGCAATAGGGAGATACAAATCCCAACCACCACAAGACAATTGGAGGGATGGGTCAGATAAAAAAAAAAAAGTATATCACACAAGGTCAGATCTCCAGCACCCATATAACAGAAGTTGTACACGGTCACATGTGTCTATAATTATGGCCCTGGGGGTCCTGGGGGCAATGGGAAGAGAAGAGTGGTTTCCTAGAGCTTGCTGGCCAGCTGTTTCTAGTGAGAGCCGATGTCTCAGAAAACAGGCTGATGGGATGACTACAGAGGTAAATGTGTTCGCTACCAAACCTGCTGAGCTGAGCTTGAGCCACATGATAGAATTAAGTGACTAACTCCTGTAAGTTGCCCTCTGCCTTCTACATGCATGCTATAGAACGTATGTGCATACCCATGGACACATACATGATGAATAAAAATGAATGAATAAATAAATAAATAAATAAATAAAATTAAAAAAATAAGGTGGCGAGCAGTAGTAGAAGTCATCTGGCATCAACCTCTGGCCTCTGCACACATATGTGCGCACATACAAGCACATGTGGACACACATACAGGCACACACTAAACACAAAACGTCACAGGGAGATATCATTTCATACTTACTAAAACATCTAATATAAAAAGCAAATCAAAACAGAAAATGACTCATTAGAAGGCAGAGAACTCAGCATCTTGCCAGTTTACATCATCACTGCCGGTGCAGTCAAATGGTA